TGTGGGAAATAACGCCTCGAGTAGCACAGATGGGGTGACAGGAGTCGAGTAAAATACTTGTATCAGGGGGATAGCAGACGAATCCCACGGGGCAAGAAGAAGACTCTGATAAGTCCTATGGAAGGAGGACTGGCTAACAATATGGCAGACTTTGATCAACATTGCCAGCACAAGGGTGAAGGGGGTGAGAAAGCCAGCTTGGGGTGTGGAGAGTTCTCATGAAATCCACTCTAAATGGTACACCATACCACATTTAAATCAGTAAAGAAAAAAATTGTGATAGTGAGGAGGTGATACCATGATATAGGATTGGTGATTAGCCCAGGGGGGAAAGAGAAAAACAACGATTGTTTAACAGACAATTGGTCAAAGCATCTACTTCACTTGTCTCTTTGACGAGCCATAGTGTGGTGCTAAGACTCGCAAGACTCACTGACGATGCTGAAAACGAAACAGGCGAAACGTCTGGGAATGTACCACGTCCATGGTCCGACGCTGGAAGTTATCATGCGTACAATGGACTCCGGACTAGTTGCGTCCCTCCAGGTCTTCCTACCAATATGAAAAAGTTGCGAAAACAAGATCAAACAATATAGCTTTACATGTGATATTGATAACCATATTAGAAAAGACTATTCGGCCAAGTGAATTAGGCATATATAAAAATGGAAACTTACTAAAGTTCAGCCAGAAATTCCTGAGATAGATGAGGATCAACAAGCTTTGGCATTATACAAAAGTAATAGAAGGGAAGAATACGAACTTTAGTCACGTTCAGTCGCATAGGAGGATACAGTACAGATAGTTGACTTTTCCTATATTGAAATGATTATACCCCACATATTACCTTGACTCCCAAAAAGATTTCCAATCCAGGGTGGACTACAGCTACCTCCCCTAGACCTCATTAGCACCCCCAACAGGATTTGAATCCGGGTCTTAATCACTCCACCATACAGCCGCGTATTCCCGATTGATATGTGGGTTTTGAGGCAATCCACGCCTCTCACAACTTAACTATTAGTCCTACTCAAGAACTCTTGATAAGGTTAAAGCATGCGGATAAAATTAACAGTAAGAAGAAGCTTTGATTCTTTTTATTTTCTCTTGATTAGCATGGCAAATGAACCGTTGAATAGATAAATAAAGGCCCTAAAATAAAGCCTAAAGTCCAAGACAAATTAAACCTGAATTAATTTACAAATATATACTTGCTTAGCTGGGTCGTAGCTCTGTAAGAATTTATACTAAAATTTAATAAATCAACACTAAAGTATCTGTACGAGACAATAATAACCCCTAAT